GAAATCCCCAAATACCCGTGGGAAGTGAAAGCTACCCCTGTCCGAAGGGGCAGGATGCCCTAAAGTGAAGCAACCAAAAGTGTCGGAGCAAAGGGCAGAGCCACACCCAGCAGGCAGGAACTGAGCTTCTCCCCTGCAGGCCATGTGAGAATAAGTGGGCAGGCTCAGGGCCTGGGAGCATGGTCTGGGCTGTGGGAGCTGGGCAAGCAAATCTGCGTCCAGCCCTTTCTGGTTCTCTCCTGGATGCCTTAACTCCGGTCCTCAGAATCTCAAATCTAAGCCCACACCATTGACGTGTATGCAGGTAGATTAATGTCCTTGGTGATAAAGGTGAACATGGACCTGGATGCTAGCACCACGCCCAGGCCCTCCATGACCCGACCTTATTTGGAGAAAATGCTAAAATACCACATTCAAGCTGGGGCACTCCACCAGCCCTCCTGCAGGCTCCCCCATCCCTCCCAGTGAACGGCAAGTTCCACTTCTCAGGCTGAAAGCTGTAGCAGGCCCTGACGCTCCTTTACTCCCACATCGGGTCCCTCAGGAAATCTCCTGCCTCTCCCTGCCAGACACATCAGTGTTTGACCACTTCTCGCACTCGCTCTGCTGCACCTGGCCCCACAGTCTAGCACCTGTCCCCCATCTCACTGCCTCCGCCGTGTCCCCCTCCAGTCTTTCTCAGCACAGCAGCTCAGATCTGCCCACTCCCTCCTCCCTGATCACCTACTCTCCACATCCTTCTCCCCGCTCCAGCCATGATGGCCTCCTCCTCCTCCCTCCTGGAAGCCACCAGTCCTATGCTGGCCTCAGGGCCTTTGCTCTTGCTCTTGTGCTGCCTAGAATGCTTGCTTCCCTAGGTATTGACAAAGTGGCTTGTTCCCTTCCTTCCTTCAGGTCTGGACTCAAAGGTCACCTCCTTTGAGACTTTCTGGAGAACCTCATCTGAAAGTTAACTCCTCCCCCTAGAAGTCATAGCCCCTTTCCTTGCTTACTTTTTTCCTTCTGAATGTTTATCACTATCTAACATATGATTTATTTATCTTTGTTTATGTTTGGATTTCTGCCAACCACAATATGAGAATCATGAGGGCAGGAATTTTGCGGGGTCTCTTTTGATCACTGCCGTGTCTCCACCACCTAGAACGATGCCTGGTACATAGCAAGCACCCAGCAGATACTCACTGCAAGAATGAATATGAAACCAAAATGTTGGATTTCACAGTAATCAAGAATCAAAGATCACCTGACTACTTGGGAAATAGGATCTCTTGCTGGAGTGGTGACCAGGATGGCTCAGACTTCACAAGGCCTGGAATTGGTGCTATTAAAAAAAAAAAAAAATCAACATAGTCAAAGAGCCCCAAACAGTCAGTCAGAGAGTCTGCATGTTTATGTTTTAATGTGTAAGAGATGTAAGAGACGGAACAGGCAGGAGACCCTGACCACGGTCAGGAAACCCAGACCACGTAAGTATTATGCGGAGGCAATTCTGGTTCAAGACTCAGCCCCACTGGTGTAGGGTGTAGAAAAACCAAAAGGAACCCCTTGGTCACTCAGAGATAATATCCACAGGAAGCAGCTATCTCCATCTCTTTGGGTTGGGGCACCAGAAAGGATGGGTGGGTACCTCAGATCCAGAGGAAGAAGAGGGTGAGGTGGGAAGCCAAGACTCTAAGAAAAAAGGATGGAGGAGGACAGAAGCAGGACTAGTCCTGAGGTCAGCCTTGCCCAAGAGAAGGCCAGGAAGGTGAGTGAGCTAGGTCCCCCCACTCGTGCAGGGCCCGAAGCACCTTTAGAGGTGCGTCACTGTGAAACATTCAAGGCCACGGACGGTCCCCGAGCCTAACACCACCGTGTGTGTGCCAAAGGGAAAGAAAACCACATTCTCTCCACATAAACACCCTCCCCCACTGCAAGACTTGAGGGACTAAGAAAAAGGGCTCAGCAACCCTTGAAAATCGGAGGGTGAGATGAACCATGAGAGACTATGGACTCCAAGAAACAAACTGAGGGTTCTAGAGAGGAGGGGTTGGGGGGATGGGTTAGCCTGGTGATGGGCATTAAGGAGGGCACGTTCTGCATGGAGCACTGGGTGTTATACGCAAACAATGAAGCGTGGAACACTACGTCAAAAACTAATGATGTATTGTATGGTGATTAACATAATATAATAAAATTAAATTAAATTAAAAAAAAAATGCCAGTGGGGGCTAAGGCTTTCATGCCCCATGAGGGTGTTCAGTCAGACATGTATAAGAGCTACCAGCCTGCTGCAGCACGAGCTCCGAAACCCAGATCTGCTCACAAAGCTTGTTAATAAAAGTAGAGGGCACAAATCTAACCCAGCCCAGAAGGATTTCAATAAATTTCAAGCGAGGGAATCTGATGGGGAATTATACCGAGGAAACCTGACATTTCCCATACAACACATGCATCCGCTTGCCTTTTGTATTTACAGTTTGTATATCCAGACAATCTTTTTATGCAAATAATAAATCCACATGGAAGTCAGGTAGAATCTTCTCTTACGTTACTATTATGTATTTGATTCAGTGAACAATTTCCCCGGACTTAAAAGAATCTAAGAAAGGAAAAGGGCTTCCCCTGGGATTCCACAACAAAACTCAAGGGGTGCCCTGGGGCAGCACCAGCTTGCCTCCATGCAGAGAATCAAGGACCGGGACAAAGAATTAAGGTCATCCCTTCCTCCGGCCCCACGGTCCCCCATCTCCTCCCCTCCAGGGGGTGCTGGCCCAGCCCTCACAGAGGTCTCCGCTGAACAGGACTCCAGCCCAGGCAAAGGGGGCCAACAGTTCCAGTATAAAGCCCTTTCCACCCAATCACTGGTCCTCATCCTCAGCACCTCCCCACCCCCACCTCCACCAGCAGCACCGCTAACACCCAGAACTAGTTTCTCCCTCCTTCAGATACTTGAGCAGCTCTCCTGTCCCTCTGAATCTTCTTTTCTCCCTGCTAATCCCTCTCTTCCTAAACCTGTCTTCACTCTCTCTTCAGAGACACTCTCTGTGACTACACTTCAGGAACCCAGAACTGAGCCAGCACACTAGCATGAGCCATGAGCACAGGCGGGTCGGAGCCAGGGTGTGTGCAAGGCAGGTCGGGTGTCTCGCACTCACCACCCTTCTGCTCCAGGCAAGTCTATTTCACTACCAGATCCCAGAGCTTCCCCACTGGCTACAACCCTTGCCTGGAGCCGCTGATGCTGAGGCTAACAGTAACAACTAGTATGTATGGAGGGCTTACTTACTATTACGAGACACTCTACTATGTATTTTAATCCTCACCAAAAAGAAAAAAAAAGTAGGACTATTACTCTGTTACAGGGGAGGAGCCCAATTCCAGCCCATCTGCCTGCCTGGGGTCCCAGCTGAGCTGTGGCACCTGACCGGAGTGAGACCTGGCAAGGACTGGGAAGGGCATATGCCTCGGCCAGCCCTCAGGGGCTCTAATTTGTTAATGGCCAGCCTTGTTCCAGAAACGATGTAACTCACTGAATTAACCATTGTTCCTTCATGCAAGCTTTCCTGGTTTGGGCACTCATTTGTTTAAAAACTACAACATACACACCCAAATAGCAAAGCCAAGGAGAACTGCTGCCATGCTTGAAATGACACTCAACTATCTCTGGAATGGCAATAAATGTGAGAATCTGGGGAGCAACGAGAAGCGTGAAAGGCAGGCCATCTCACTCAGGGCCTTCAAACTCGCTGGCTTTGGGAGCCTTTCCAAACGATGTGTCTGCCAGAGGATGTGTCATGAGAACTGAGCTAATTATCCATATAATTCACACACTGGAGCGGGGGATCAGCAGGAGGAAGTAGAGGTTATCTTCAGACCTCAGGCAGACCAGCAGCTAAGGAGACTTGTTTGCGCCACCCTGGGCTTCAGCAGATGCCCCCCAAAGGTGCCACCAGGTCTGTTTCGAAGATTGTGGAAAGGAAGGCCTCTGGGTGAAGTGTGACCATTTTTTCCGAGCTGCAGGTGGTCACAGCGAGTGGCGGGAGGGAAGGACTGCTCAGAGCCCTACAGACTTCCCGGGCCCCTTCTCCCCAGCCTTCTCCCGCCCCTCCCCCTTCTGGGCTCAACTTCAGCCTCTCTCACGCGCTTCCTTCCCTCTTCCAGCCGCCTCTCCTCCTGGCCTCCAAAGAGCAGCCGGTGGGATGGGCGTCAGCCTGGAGTAGGAAATGGGAAGCCACAGCGGTTCTCTGAGAACTCGAGTCCCCAGGAGCCTGCGCAGTCACAGGGCCAGGGAGGAGACGGGCCGCAGTTCATCAAACCCCAATGCAGTCCCACCCTAGGGGTGGGGACCTGGGCTCTCTCCCCTGCCGTCGGCAGCAGGGAGGCCCCTCCGGACGAGTGACAGAAGGCTGCGTGGCACCTCGGACTCGGGCTCCTCTGTCGCGGGAGACCAGAGGCGCAGCCCCTTCCAGCGGAGCACTCCGAGGGGGGAGGCTGCCAGACAAGACGCGACCCCAATCGGACACTGTTCTTAACTCTTCCCAAACATTTCACCGGCCCTCTCCTGTCGCTCTCGGGGCGGGGCAGGGGTCACAGCCGGCCCTCCCGAGGGTGAGGAGGGAGGGAGGGAGGCCGCCACTCCGGAGCAGGGGCTGGGTTGAGAGACCTGGGGGTCACCCCGACAATGGTCGCTGTACTGGTACTGGTCAGTGACTCGTCCTTGGGGACAGTCGGGGCGCCCGTCTTGCCCATCTCCGGCTGGAGGGCCTCAGGGCTCCAAGAGCTGGCTCTTCGTCCTCCGACCACTGCCGCCCTGGGCGCCCTTCATTTGGGGGCGCAGATCTAAGCGTCCCCCGTCCCGTGCCAGGGACGGAGGGGAAAGCCGCAATCTCGGCTTCAGTAACTGCCCCTCCAGCCTGCATTGCACTGTAAAACGACCTCGCAACCACATCTCCCCGTAAGACTCCATCCGAGGCGCCCCCCTTGTCTTCCCCCCCCCCCGGTGCCCGCGGCCCCCGAACCTTGCCGCAGCGGCACGCGCGCTAGCTCCGGCCGGTCCTCGGGGAAGGCGTCGCGGAGGCGCTGCCACAGGCGGCCTAGGTCCGCGAAGCTGCGGTGCAGGTAGAGCACGCTGCGGTCCGACCACTCCGTGCGGATCTCGAAGAACTCCTCCTCGTCGCCGCGCCGGCTGACGATGAGCCTGCGGATGCCGTTCACCCAGCAGCCGCGCACGAACATGTTCACAAGCGAGGTGCCCTCAAACACCGCCGAGGCCATGCCGCGGGCCGCGCATGCCCCCGCCTCCGGGGGCGCCTTCGGCCCCCGCCCGCTCTCCGGCCCGCTCGCCGAGCCGGGGGTCTGCCTGAGGTCTGCCGGGAGCCGGGATCGGGCCGGGATCTGTCCCGGGCCGGGGTGCGTCCGACGTCTCCGGGGCCGGGATCGGGCCGCCGCCGTGTGCCTGCGGTCTGCCCGGGACCGGGGTCTCTCCGGGGTCAGGGTCCGTCCGAGGTCTGTCGGGAGCCGGGAGCCGGGACCCGGCCGGGGTCTGCCTGCGGTCTGCCCGGGGCCGGGATCCGGCCGGAGTCCGCCGGGAGCCGCGGTCCGTCCGAGGTCTGTCCGGAGCCGGGGTCCGTCTGGCGGCGTCAAGGACCGGAGTCCGTCGTGACCCGGGTCTGTCCGGGGTCCGCCCCCGGCCTCCGCGCGCACTCGCGGGGAAGCGCGGCGACAAGTCGGTCGGGCCGGGCCGAGCTGTGTCTTTATAAGGCACTTCCCATCGCGGGCGGCGCGGTCGTCGACGTCGAGGCCGCCGCCGCCGCCGCCTTCCTCCCTCCTCCGGGTGAGCGGACGCGCCGCGGGCTGCGAGCGGAGG